AATGTGGCGCACGACTTGTCTGCACTTGTCTTAGCGAGGCAGTGGAAATTCACATATTCCAGATTTCAGTAATAGAAAGCAAAATTTCTTGCTACCTCCACTTCTCCCTTTCCTACAGCCTTCTAGGCCACTAGGTGGCAATTTCCTGTCTTTGCCTTACTTGTGCATCAAAGCTGTTTCTATATCGCTAAGAGGAAGCAGACAAGCACAGCACCACCCTGACGACTACTCTTTTAATTCACCAACATAATACACATTGCTGCTCAGCTTTGGCTTCAAAAAAGTGCACCTCTTGAGAAATCTTGACGCGCATGCGCGTCAAGCTGGCTGCGCCCGCCAAAACGCTCATGTCCCACGCGGCCGAAAAATCCAAAACGCGCGCTGTCGTCAATGGGTTAATCGCTTGTTCAAGTTGATGGCAGATGTATGAAATAGTGCTAGGTTTTAGAGAACATGATTCTCAGAGGCGTATATAAACTGAACTGTTACTATTACAGCGTGTCAAAGTCTTCACTTCCATTGGTCCAACGAATGCATGGCTCTTTTTCCTCATAATTAATGCAGTTGCACAGCAAAATCGTCCCGAAACTGTGAAAATTCATTTTTCCATTATCCAGTAGGCACATAAATAAGAAACTGCCGCTGGTGGTTGCTAGTAAAGGAAGGGAGCGTCCTTCCTTCACTAGTAACTCAGTTGGTTTAGTTTACGTAGAGGCTTTTTATTTGAGACTTCATCATTTTCTGCTGGGTGAGACCTGAAGGCGGTAACTAGTGGAGCTACTGGGACTACCGGGGAGTCTAGGTGAAGGCTCATGACGCTGCGTGCGTCATGAAGGGCTGGATTGGAGTTTGGCAGACATTTAAGGCGTGGGGCCAACTGATGGATGTCGCCAATATAAACGTGGCGAGCGTGAGACAAACGCTCTGCGATAGTCAAGAGGGCCGGCGGTGGTATCCGTGAGGACTCATCACCTATTACGGCAGTAAAATAGGGAATGAAGGACTCAAAGATTCCGGAGCGCGCTGTTGAGTTAAGGAGGGAGGAAGTAGTCATACATAATACCGAGGGTCGGCTAACCGCAAACAGGATTTTAACCATGCGCTTTAGCGTGCGGACCTCATATTCCTCCTTCTCGTCATCCGTCATGTCCGGGATTGCTGTGGCGTTGCCGATATAATTTCGATCATAGTGCGATATCGTTTGAAGCGTCTGCATATTTCCAAATCCTTTTCCGAAAACTGGTGCCAAAATGTGTCACCCAGAGTAAGGAGCACCTTGGCAGGCTAAACCTGAACCGAAAAAAGAGTCAGAACTTCGTGAAAGGGAACATGCGCACATCATTAGGATATGTATTTCACCCAAGAACTTCCATAATTCTGGCAAATCCTTGTTTACGCCACTCCTAGGCGAGCCGGATACCGATTAGCCGTCTCCATACTGAACAGGGTTTAATCCCTGGAACGCAAATCTGCCTTAGACGCTCGACTATACTCTCTATACAACAAGTGAGTTCAATTTTTGATAGATTTTTTAAAAAACTTCTTACCTATCAGACATTCGAGCAAAAAAAAAAGCTCAGATACGTAGAATTGCAAAAGTGATGGCGTACGTCCCAAACAGGGAATCTGGGAAACGAAGATTTTATGATCAATGGGAAAATAAAATAGTCGATAAAAAGTATAAAGTTTTCGGCGTTAATCAATCCCTTGTGAGGGATGCGCCCCGCACTCGACTTCCATTTAGAATAGTAGTGGCGTAATGAGTGTGTATGTGGCCTACACAATGGCATGCGGTGGCCAGCCAATGTGTAAGTCAGCGCTTTTTCAGTTTTGGTTGGCCTAGGCGGGTATCGGCCCGGGATTCGAACCGCTGATTGTACGTGTGAGATAGTGCGCCACTTATCACTACACCACCTCCGCCCCTAAAATAAGCGATACCTACAACCAACCAAACCTTTTCGGTTCTTCTGCGGGTCTTCAAAAGACGGATTCAATCAAATTGCTATGTGCTAGTAGAATGATCGATATACTCCTATTCCTCTTTATAGAATCCCAGTTTTCCGAGGCTCGGTCCGCGCATTCTGTCTCAATCAGTCGTGTAGATATGGCGCTCCAATACAAACACTTTTTTTCGCGCGACGACTTACACGCAACGGGACGTAGGCCGCGATTTCTACATTTTTGATTTTTCAAAGCGGTGATTGTAAAGTGTGTATCGTGTGTGCTCTGTGTCTTCTATTTTTTGGATTTCTGTCGTGATTTCTGCATTGAATTCTCGAAAGTGAACAGCCCTGCGTAGGACAGTAGCGAAAAGACAAGTGTTGTCTGAGTCTGGAAATGTTTGAGGGTTACTCAAGAATCATGATTTTCGTAATTGTCACATATCATTTATCCCTCACTTTCTACGTTATTTTATTGTTTTTTTTTTATTTTTATTGTGATCAGTGCCAACGGGTTCTCGTGTATGAGCAGCCTGGGTAGGACAGTAGTATAATGATAAGTATTGTCCGAGTCTAACAAATTTTGAAAATTATCCGAAAATCACATTTTTCGTTATTGTTGTCATTTTTCCATTGTTTCTACGTATTTCTTTCGCAGATTCTCATAAACATTCACTTACTTATTACTCCTGAATGGGTTAATATGTAGTTGGTGGAAGGGGCTCCGCTCTTATCCTACACTGTAGGTTTTTTTTTCAGGGTGGGTGTGGTGATTTTACTTCACACCAAAAGATGGGATGGTGTAAGGATTGGATATTCAATTGACTCACCCATCCAGTGCCCTTTGAGTCTGAAGGCATAGTTTGAAAAAACGATATCTTCTAGACTAAGAAGCGTTCTTAAACACCATTGTGGGTTACCGAAGTCCCTCCTACCCCTCCTTCTCTGCCCTCTAGCGCTGCGCTCAGTGTTGAATAAGCCTTTTTTCACCCGACTTTAATACTTTAGATAACTGACGTGTTTAGGGGACTCCACCATAGCACTATGTTCAATTTAGACTCCTCTTTTGACATAACGCTTTTTGTTAGAGCCAGTTTTCGAAAACTCACTCTGAATCACCATCGCTTAACGCAGATCTCGCAAAAACATAATTTTTAATTTTTTGTTGAAAAAGTCCCCTTTCCCTTACGAAACACAGAATTTATTGCTATATTAATGCACTGCTTTAGATTAGGAATGCCACTAAATAGAGTTCCGGTCCCCTTGCGGCAAAAGTTTCTTCCACACGATGGAGGATATGAAATCGTTTACTCGAAGCATATCAATTACCCAGATGATTACGATTGTGAAGTCAAATACTTGATGAATTGCTCTGGTGAGTGCTGCGAATATTATTCTTCTTGTTTTTCGTTTTTTAATATTTTCCTATTACTTTACCTATTTCTGTTTATTGCTTATTTTTCCAGCTTCAAGTCTTTCAACTCACCGAGAAGTTGCTTTTTTCAGGCGAATTCACCTATTATGTTGCACTCTTTTATGCAAATTCACTTACATTACGGTATATATCTGAAACCGGTTTGGAGTCGCACTATCTCTTCAGTGAAGAATTGAGTATCAAGGATATTGGTTATTTTCGGAATGCTGGTAAGTTGGTTGCAGTTTTCATTCGTAATCAGAATTCTATCGGTTATTTGCAGATGATGAGCTCTGCCTAGTTGTTGCCTTAAACAGCTCGAACATTAGTATTCATCCTCATTGTGCCGCTTTCCTTCGCTGGGGTGGAGCACGATTCCAGCTTATTCAGAAAGTTGCGTTCGAACAAGAGGTAGAGCAAAATACTTATAATCATCAGTCTTCTCGCAGATATCTTCATTATTCTCCCACTTCTCTTCTACGAATTTTGGACGTTGGCTCTCTACTTCTTGCCCAACTTGTTCACCTCCATCAGTCCTTCAGGGTATTCTTACCGAATTCAGATTTGTTGTCTTAAAGTCATCGCTGATGAGCAGAATATCAGCCAACTTGCGCCTACGCTTCATCACAAAATGTCTATCTGGCCTCACATTATATCTGTTGGTAGGACTTTAGTCATTTCACTGGTCGCTTTGAATTCAAATGAGCTTTCCGAAGTCATGAATTGCAGGTACTCATTTTGCTCGATGTTATCTATTTCACTTCCCTTCTCCCGAACAATATAAGGGCCACGATCCACGGGTACCGCTCAAAATAAAACTGACCGATGGGCTGAGTTAGTTGGATTTTTTTCTACGACGTATTCTTCGTATTTATTTATTATTACTCATATTGTTACTTGTAATGTGGGTCGTATTGTTGATATATAATGTAGATGGACATAGTTACGTTTTAGGCATTTAAGCAAGCAGAATTGCTCGTAGACCTTTTCGAGGCCGTCTCTTCATCATCTTGAAAGGAGTAAAGGCTCTTCAAAATGATGAAGAGAGGTAGTATCCATGTAGTGGATGTTTGCATATAAGGCCTCATCCTACTTGAACAGCACCTTTAAGTTCGAACGGCAAATTGGCATCAACTAGCAATCTTCAGCGAACCTTTTTGAGAAGAGATTTCGAAAAAGTTCGATACTTGATTGATGCCAACCTCTGGATCATTCCATCCAGTACTCTGCTGCTGGTGAGGAGTGGCTGTCGTTAACTAGGTTCACAGAACTGTATTTCAAGTAGCTATGCTTTCATAATCGCTTGAATATAAATCGATTACGATTTGTGACCATCATTTCCCAAGGAGGCACTGAATCACTGCAGGGTTTTAGTAAAGCTCATGGTATATCTCATGCCGGTTGAACAGTAACGAATTCTTGAACGGTGCTACTATCGTTTAGTTGTATGCACATTACGTCGCTAATCTTGAACAGAGCTATTGCTTTCTATGGTGTCCTGACAATCCGATATTGTCATTTCAGAGCCCTTTCGATATGGTGACGAGTTCGTTTATAGCTCCGCGAACCCAGATTCAGGATACACCGAGTCGAAAAAGTTGAAGATAGGTAAGTTTATTGTGAAAAATTTCTTCCTTAGTTTTCCTCCAAATAGCTTATTCACCTGCTGTCAATTAAAGTGTTTAAGAGTCAGTTTCTGTGACGTGCGTCGGCTTCCTCGAAAAATGTCGTGTTGTGTTGGTTGGTTTCTCTTTTGGCGGGATCATGTCCATATCTTTGACGGAGAGTCCTATCATGTGAGTCCTACTAATCGCGGTAAGGCTCAAGCGAAGTGTTTACNAAGCAAACGAATTTAACTCACGTTGGTGTTAATATCATTGGAATTATCTGGTTCAGAGATCCTTTAATGTATCCGTGCAGCGCACCTGTGCAGTTCATTGCTCCGTTGGAGCCCGACGATGATCCACGCATGCACTTGTGGTTCTTCGTAGCGTATAGGTAATTTAAGACGCTTATGTATCTTTGCTATAAATCAAGGTTTATATCATCCACTCTACCCACTTGCAATTCAGTTCAACAAAAGCTAAACCTTTGCAACTCTGCTTGTATGAAGTAATGTTCGGTGAGGATGAGTGCTTACCATTGTCTGAGCGTACTTGGTTGAAGCCTAGGATCGGAATCAAGCTAGTGGTTTGTCACAATTCTTTTATTTTCTGCACTTTGGTTCTTATTTTTTTAATGGAAGACAGTGTGTCTTCATCCCATTTGATGAAAGACCATTCCAGTCATTTCGAATGCTAAATGATTACGTTCCCTATCGCAAAATATGACCAAAAGAAAACTGCTCGATCCAGTGAAGGCATCACCATCAAGTAAATTATGACTGCTAAGACAACCCCGGCGAATGGTATTCTACGTCATCCCCATCATTCCCCGGGATTAGCACCATCTGACTGCAGCTGATATAACCCGTTCCAACCATTGATGTAGCACCTTCATGACAAGAAATCCTGTGATCACGCAGAATTGGGAAGCACAATAAGTCATCGATGTTTGAAAGAGTGGAACATTCTCCACAGGTTCTTCTGACCATTCTGATATTTGACGGAAAATAAAGTAATCTTCCGGACAGGAATGAAGAAGAGCTTCCCAATCGGTTTTTCGCGCCTCCACCGGCTTAACTTGCAGACTGTTATGAGGAAGCTTTTGCGGCGCACTCGAAGGATATAAGAGACTATGGCTGTGCAGCTCTTTAGCAAGATTAGCACGGCTTTCTCTGGATTTTTACTCAATCTCAAGATTTTCGGACCGCAGACTTTTTAACTACCTTTACGGCAGTCGTAACATGAAAGAAATTTATTGCTTTTTCAGATCCCCTTCCATAACACTACTCGCTGGATATCCCTACAAACTCTGGTACGTGAACGAGGTGAACTTCGAGGTCTCGAAGACTCCTCTCGAGACAGCTCTAGATTTGGTAAATTTCATTTTGAGTGGTCTCTCTAGCGGTCTACTTTCTAATTGAACTTAACTCTAGGTTCCGATAAGGATCGATCTGTGGTCTTCTTTTCTTACATAGCTAATGATCGAAGTGGTGGCAGTCTAAAGGTACTTCATTGTTCTTCCCAAGTGTTTTGTATTTTTTGGCTTTCTTGGCATTATCCAGCGCACAATTCAGGGTGGTCTTTTTGACCTCAATGCATACTTCTACAAACGTTTGATCGGTACAATTACACATGATGGAACCATCGCACAGCAGTGTGCGTTCATGTCTACGATTCAACCAATACCTATGCACTATAAAGAAGAAAACTTCTCATTACTGAAGGTACTCCGCTTCATTCTAATTATTTCTGATATTTTTTTTATTTGATAAGCAATTCTAGGATGTTGTTATCGATACCGCGTTGATTACACGTTTTATCTCCAATGTGAGCGATGCTGAGCAAATGTTTTACCCATCGGCACTAGAGGTAGATTGTTTCGAAACATTGCTGCTTGCTCTCTGCCACACTAACCCTTGGTGCTGAGTGTGAAGAGAGCACTCTCAGTTATACAGACATCTTGAGGCACAACTCTGATGAATGATTAAGATTGCGGTTGTCCACGTTGCTGGATCAAAGAAGTGCTATCAACTATCACTCCCTAGCCTTCCTGATCAGGTATTATGAGTTTTTTTGGCCAGTCGTTCTCATTTGTTTGTTTTTAGTAGAAATTGTTTTTCAGTTGCTATCGACGATTTGTGCCGATCTAGAAATGCACATGGCTGATCCTTCTTCTGCGTCAGCGTGGCTATCCGCCCTCGGTTTCTTCAAAAATGACCCCATTTCGAGACTATCCGATAAATGTGATGATGTTAGCGGCAATTTTTCCTATTTTTTCTTCCTTGGTTTTCAAGTGGTCCACACATTATTTCTTCAGCGTGCTGTTTTGTATTCGGTATTGAGTACGCTCCTGAGTCATGAGCGAGCCGGAGCAATTGTACACTATATCAGACATACTGACTCCGTTCAGTCACGGCATTTGATTGCTGCTTGGATTTGGGAAGAGATTGACAAAGCCAGCAAGAAGCTGCACGAAACAAGTCAGTGCCTAACATCTTTTTAATTGTTATACGTCCAATAATGAGTTGGTTCCATTCAGCCGACCCTTTGTTTGCAAGATTTTCTGGTCCTTTGAATCCTGCTGGTCAAAAAGCTTTGGCTCATGTCTATGACGTGTTCGTTGGTGGCGTACAAATTTTACGCGAGTTGGTGTCTTCCGTAGAGCGAGAGGAGGACGAAACAAGTGGGTTTCAAAAAGTTGCTTCAACACTCCACGTGGTGGTAAACGTGGTGGTTTTTAGAAGAATATGTGACAACTCTGGAGGCTCGTCGTTTCGCAACGGAGAGCCTTCGCTCGTATACAGCAGTCATTCATCGACTTATATCATGCCGTATTCTTCCTGTTTCTGAGGATAGGGAAGTCCGTCTAGCTATGGGGACTTTGCTAAGTGATCGCAGAGCAAAATCCTTGGGGTGAGAACAGGATTCTAATAGCTGATAGCTTATGTCATAGTTTGTAATGCTTTCTTGCAGTCAGCTCAATATTGATAAACTCGTTTCCCGTATGCGACGGAAGTGCCCTGCTGAGCCCTTTTGGCACGCTGAAGGTCCTCAGTGGTATCCACCAGCATTACTGGTTCGTTCTTCTGACACAGCGATTTCTATAGATTTCGATTAGCCTCGTTGTTTTAGAATCTGCTTTCTCTCGTTCTTGTTCTGAATATCCCTACCAAGTGGAAAGGACAACTTCTGACTTTCTACTTACTGGATTACGCTAGTTGTAAAGTACCACGCAATGGCTGTTCTGAAACGGTAAACGTTTGTTCAACCTCATTGTGTATATTAGGCAAAGCGTTAGAATGTTTCAGAGTGGATCTGTTGTCGAAACAGTCAAGAAACAAATGCATGGTATCTTAGGTATGACGAAGTCTGAAATTCAGAACGTTTACGACTTGTGGTGTGCTGATGGAGGACAGGTCGTTTTTTTTTTGATGTTAAGTTCAATTTTATCGATGAGAACATTGATTGCTATATTCTTTGCAAATGGCAGCACAATTCCTTCATATAGTATGACATGTCCTAAACACCTTGAATAGTCTTCCCTTAGGGGTAGTGTGTACGATATTGTCGGCTATTTAGGGAATCAAGCAAGAAGAGTCTTTCGATAACCCCTCATCTGATCAGCAGGTACCTCTCGATGCTGAAATCCGGAGGCTGTTGGACATTCCTCGTTCACTAAGTAGCACTGAAGAGAATTCACTCAAAGGTGTCCTATGCTTGCTATCCTATTCACTCACTAACTCTATCTTCACGTTCAGCACTACTAAAGTCGGTGCCATTCGGAGAATTCATTTGGAATAGCTATCTCGCTAAACATCGTCGGTTCGATGAAGTAAAAGAGGTGAGCACACACGGTATCATGTAATCACCTCATTGTTGTGTCGTTTCAGCTGCCTGTCCCCTCGGATGCTGCTCGCAACGATGCTGTTTTGGAATATCTGCAATTGTTACCTATAGTGAGAACCCTTCGTCAGAGCATAGCATATTCAGCGAAACGACCGTCTTGGCCAAGCGATATTAAAGAGGCCATAGAGAAGTTTGGTACGCTGTTGCCTTATCATTCATTTATCTTTTGGTGCGCTCACCCATTTACCTTCTACTAGAACTGTAGTGGCTCTGAAAACCTACATATTTGGCTATGCACTAATTTTTAATGGCCTACTGTGCCAATGTACCATTAAGCCGAACCCTTAGAGGCAGACGTCTAGGTTGGGGCTGACTGCAGTCGTTCCTGTATTTGATCCCTGGGGAGTAAACGTAGCACTCGGATCGGTACTCCCCACCTGTGAAAATTACGATCCAATCATTCCAGAGAAAGAAAAGACCTTTTCACCACCATCATGTGAAAGCGCAACAATTTTCAATCGAGGAAAAACTCCAGTTCGATTGTTGAGAAGGTCCGATTTCTATCACGATCGATCGTTATGTTTCCATCCTCTTGGACATTGTTCTTCTAGACAATCAAATGCCGATGCTCTGATATCTCGGAAGCGGCCAGCAGTCCCTGTTCTTCAGCAGTTGGATACCAATCTTTCCCAGCTTTCAACTTTGGTTTGTGCCTTTCATAGTTCATAACCTTACATTTTCCATTCCTTTTTTACATTCTCAGTTTCGAATTGACTTCATACATGGTTTGATTATAATTGTTTTATTTAATAGAGAATTAGGTTTTGTAGGATATTTTGCTAGTGATTCGCTACAAAGCTTTGAGAACTGCTGAACAAAACGAAATCATGTTTCACAATAAAAGCATTTCAGTCGGATAGATCGCCGCTTAGTGCTAAACGTGCAAACATGGAACTCAGTGAAGAAGATGTAAATATGCCCGAGTGCGTTTTCCTCACTCGAAATGACATTTTCCATGCCTGCGAAGAGTGGGGTTTTTTAGGGACGTACCGATCAATACTTTAAACAACATAGCGGACATTTTACGGACACCGAAAGCGCGCGCTTGTGCAGCGGCACATGCAGAATCTCAACGAAAATGGGCAGACAAGACACCAGAAGGTGAAATTGAACGTCCTGCTCCCAGAAGCATTCTGAAATCTGGGAGAACTGGTAAGATACTCATTGGATAATAGTTTTCCTTAATATGATGTGCCTTGCTATGATGCGAGAACGCCTAACCCATGCGTAAAAATCTGTCAGCTGATTGTACCATTTCAGATCGTAATACTCAGCCTCGCAATCGACTACAGTTCAATCTTCCTTCTTCTCTCTCATCGTCTTCTGAACAGCACACAATTTCGGAGGCTTCCAGTCCCGAGCATATAGAAAAAATGACTCAGGTACGCCATGAATTTTCCCAAGCATGGGTGGTTTTCATATCCTTTGTGTAGAATTAGTTCAACTTTTTCAGCCAAATTTCGACGAATCTTTCGAGTACGGGGAGGATACGACTAACACAGAGGGAGATGATTCAGTTGAAGTACAAGACGAGCCGTTTGAACCTTTAATCAGTCCCGATCTTGAACAAGATTTGCTGCCAAAGGAAGGGCCTTTGTACAGCAGCCCTGTATCCCAAGATGATGTTGTACTAGAGCGTTCTATGGAAGTGCAAGATGAAGAGGACGACTGGGAATCGAATGCAAATGCAGCTGAACCTCCACCTTTGGTTGAAGAAGAACAGGGTGAAGACCACTACGAAGTTGGGATTGCAGAGCGATCCGACATCGGGAAACTTGCACACGAAGGAGGCCTTCGTTCGGCTGAATATTTTGAACAAGACGAAGCCGGAACAAGCGGAGTCAAAGCGATAGCCAATCTTAAAAGCAGCGTGGAATTGGAAGATGAAGATGCTATGGAAACCGAGGATCTAGAACTTGAGAATAGTGTGGAACTTCAAGAAGAATGCCAGGAAGTGGTTGATGTCGTCCGTGTCACACGGTGAGCATTTTCCTTCCTTCATTCAATAATGTTATAGAAGAAGGTAAATTCCAATTCGGGTGAATAACGTAAGTTGGCTATTTGATTTCTGATATTGGGTGGAGAAAAAGAGGGATATGGGAGTAATTCAGGAATGAGAGAGGCAGCAAAAACTCCACTAGTTCTGTGATTGTTTTCTGCCTGATTCATTTGTTCCTTGATACACATATTTTAAACGTAACGTTGTTTGAAACGATTAAAAACGAAATCTATGTAGTTTTCAAATCAGGTCGAAAACTGTCGTGAACACAACGGTCAGCCCTCCTTCCATCTCGCCGTCTCCTCCTGTTCCTGGCGCTGAATCCGGTGGTGGAAATGCAAATGGCGAGCACGTCACGGTCAAGACGTATTCGGCGATGAATGTGATAGAAACTGCAGTTGAAAAACAGCTGGACGTTGATGAACCTAATCATGATGCTATTGCATGTGAAGAGCAATGTTCAATTGAGACACAGTCCGATGACTCAGATTCTGATGACATTGGAAGGCCGCACATTAAGCAAACCGTAATTGAGACGCTTTCAAACGTGTATGAGGTTTGTCATTCTAAGAGGTTTTGCTCTTTGACTCGGATTCAAAAGAGAATTTAGGTAGCTCATGAGGTGCAAGATGACCAAGAGGGCGTCAATAATGTCACATTCACAATTCCTGCTGAAATTGGGATTGCAACCGGCGATTTTGTTTCCTTGTGTTCGGAAAGGTATTTCGTATTCTTTTTCTTTCCGTCTGTTAGCATTTGAATGCAAATCTTGTTCAATACACTGAAAGACTAGCTTATGTTGAAGTCACTGCTTTCACTTTGTCTTTTGTCCTCCAAACGTGAATGGTATCACTTCATCAGGCTAAAGTATGAAACTATCAGTTATCTGAGCGATATTGATTGGGAATCTGGTCTCCGGGTTGTACATGTGGTCACTTTGGTGTGGACTCTCTGTTATTTCTTTGAAATTATGTAGTATACCTCCAAGACCACGGCTGCGTTTACTTGAAAATTCCCTCCACTCAGTACTCTGATCTCTGATTCATTTCCAAACAGTCCAGTCACTCATTGTCATCTAGCTCTTGAAAACCATTAGAAGTTCCCAAAAAAAGTCAAGTCAAGCCGAAATCTTTATTAGTAATTTGATTTCCGCTCATGTGTGAGCTGTAGTTTGACAAATTTTGTAATGTGCTGATTTCACTTCACAGACTAAACCATGAAAAACTACATTACACGCTTTTTGCGGAGATGAGGACGTATTTCATACGGGGTTGCTTCTGAGGGTAGGTAGGGCTAGCTTGGAGGAAAAAAGAGAGCAAAAATTTGTTCATCGAAAACTTTAACCTGCTGACCTATCTCGAATTCTTTGGTGCGCAACCGTGAAAGTTTGGTCGTTAAAACTATCGCTCTGCAACTTAATCCTGTGTCATGCGTCACATGTTAATGTATTTATTTTTATAATTGCTTAATCTTGCACTTTGTCGCATACATTTATTTTTAGACGGCTGTTATATTCCAGTGTCACAACCGTGCGCGAGAATTCCACCGACGAAGTATCCAATGTGAAACTTGTGGACTATTCTTTTACTAGTGATTCCACTTTCGACCTCTCTCATACTCCCAGAAAACATCAAAAGGTTTGTTGTCTGAGTGATTATTGTTGTTATCTCAGTGCTTCTCCACTTAACACCCATTTCAGGCCGCAGACTCTTCCACTCATGTCAGCCATATTCGTGAAGTTCTTGAATTTGATGGTGTAAGTTTTTTTTTTACTTACGTTACTTGCTTACATCTGAACAGTGCACCTCAACCTCTACATAATGTTTGCTTATTCAGGAACTGGTTCCAATGCTCGATGCTGATCAATTGCGGCAACCTTCTACTGTTGAAGAAAGTTCTTCAGAAACTCAAAGCAGTCCGCGGTTGCCCAGGTTCTTTTTCTGCGTCTCTTATTATTGTGAGATGTGCTATAATGGTTTTGATTTTTGCAGTCCTACCGAGTTCGGAGACGGAAACGATTTACAAGAAGTGCCACTTCCATCTGAACCTACTGCATTGGGTGTCATACCTGAGGAAACATCTGGACCTACAGCCTTAAGTGTCACGCCTGAGGAAATATCTGAACCTACAACCTTGGGTGTCATACCTGAGGAAACATTTGAACCTACAGCAATGGAAGTCATAACTGAGGAAATATTTGAACCTACAGCATTGGAAGTCATACCTGAGGAAACAGGTGAGTTTCAACGAAATCTTGACTTATTAAGCAAAATGAACGAAATCGGCTTGCCTGTGGTCTGCGCACGATATGAGTTAATCTATCAGAAATGGTTGCATTTATATGGTGAGCACCATTCAGAAAAGGCTGCCACAACACCTCCGTTGTCTCCTCAACAGGCACAGTCTGAACTTCCCACTTCGACCCGTAAAAGAATTCGTAGTTCAGCTAAAAAGGTCTCATGTTTTGATTTATACATTTCTGTTCTGTGTTTTTATGAGCGGCGAATTTCAGGTAGCTCCAGCTACACCAACGAGGCGTTCACAACGACTTCGTCACAGATCGCTTAGTATTGAAGGCGAAGGCTCGGAAAGAGGGGTTGATCAAGAAAGCGACATTACCAGTCTAACCTCAGGGTATGTTTCAGAAAATCTTTTGTAAAACACCGACGCCCCTTAAACTTAGTTCAAAATTTTCAGGCGCTCTGGAAAATTGAGTGATTCCGTGGAAGAAACTGAGTCAAAGGAAGTGCAGAAAAGTCCCAGGTTCAAACGTTCACAAGTCCTTTATTTTACTGCTAAATTTTTCAATATGGAATTCTTTCAGCCGTGCAGCCCGAAGCCGTAAAGTATCCACGAGCAGTTCTGAAGCATCATCAAATATATCAAGAACCCCTACACGGTTTGCTTGCCTTTGCTTGTTTTTAAGGATTTAAGATCACGTTCATCTTGCTAGGCGGACACCGACTCGCTCTGCGACGAAGTCGAAGCAAGTGGATGTGGAAACGGAGGGCGCGAAAGGTCGAAAAACCCCTAGCAAAGCCTCGAAGGCACTGAATGGTGAGGAGCGCACAAATTACTTTCGGATGTTTAGCAAATCTTATTTTTTAGAAAAATTCACTGTCGCAAAGCCACTCGGGGGCATCGACGCAGGCGCTCTATTCGATGTGAGTTTCTTTCTTCGTTCCTCGATTATAAAAGCTCTACTAATTTATTGTTATTCAGATGTGCATGGAGGGTACGAGCCGTCGTCGTAGAACTTTGTCAGGTATTGTAATGGCTTTACGAATATTATTTCTGGAATTGACATTGCTGTTAGCCTAGTTCTTTTTGAACTTTAAAACTTAAACGGATTCCTAGATTCTGAGATTCCTGAAGTGAAGGCGAAACGATCTAGGACACACAATGTTTTGGATGCCATTGCTGAGGCGGGAGATGAGTCAGGTAATGGATTTGGTTATGGAGAAGAGTGCGTACCAAATTTGTTATTGTTAGTTTTATATCTTCTAGGATCAGTGAAAGATGACAGGAAGCAAACTAAACCCAAAAGTGTAATTGATGTTCCAAAGGTGTGTCAAGTAAAGTTTTCGTTTTCGGTTCTTTCCTTTCCAACATCTTTCGAATGCACTTTAAATTGATACTTCCTGAACTTGAATGAACTATTAGGTTAATGCATAATTATTGCGGATTTTTTTCCAGCAAATTTTACTGAAAGAAACTATAGAAATACTGAGCAAAGACATATTCAAATAATTACTCCGGAACTTATTCACCATCTACGTCAAGCACTGCTTCCCATTGATTAGTTAGTCGGATCCCAAAAGCGAAGAAGTTTTGATCCTTACGGGTGATCCATGCCTTGACTTCGGCCATCAGGTCATCCAAATCGACGGAAATTCTATTCCCTAGCCATTTTTTCCAACGAACGGTTGACGAGATTATCCATGAAAGTTCCTGCTGGTGAATATGGCAGATTTAGGGGCAGATCCCATTTCTTGGTTGGCTCTGGCTGACTGTTCGATCGCCGAAAAGTTACTGAGATCGCGGAATGACTGTGGCACCTTCCAATCTTTCTCGAAGAAGTTAAGCCTATTTTCGCGAATATGCGGATGGTTCTTTGAGTATATTTTTGTAGAGGAAATCAAGTAGATCATTTCTGGAAAAAACCCGAACTCAATATTCAAATTCTATCGAGAGAAAAAAAAACCGCGAAAAAATCCGCAATAATTATGCATCAACCTAATATTAATGTGACCAACTGCTTCGTTCTAGGGTCCATCCTCCGAGAGCGTACCCACGTCTGGTCACCGAAGACGGGCAGCCAGTGTTACACCATCTCCCTCAAGGACTAGGCCGCACAGAGGTTGTGAAGTGGATCATTAAATCATCTTTAGTATAGAGCATTGTTTGCATATCAACTGTTTTTTAGAACCGAGATCTCCATCCAGGAAACTCTCTACGACCAGCCTGGACCAGCCATCATCGAGCAAGGCTAAATCCCCTGCAAGGTTGGTTGCCCAATCGTTGATGCTTGAATAAATGGTCGAATCGCATCGCGAGTTTTCTAGACGTACTCCTACTCGCTCTGTGTCCAAATCGAAGCTCATGGAGGTAGAACAGGAGAGCACAGATCGTAAAGGCACCCGATCTAAAGCTGTAAAAAAGCTGAGCGGTAAGCAACAAACCCTCGAATATGTATTTCTGTGTGTGGTAATATTGTTGATTCTAGAGAAATTTACTGTTTCAAAGCCACTGGGTGAATTAGATGCTCGTACCTTGTTTGATGTGAGGTTTTCATGAGTTTTCTTTTATTGTTCCGTGATTTCGTGCCTATTCCATTTGTTTAGATGACAATGGCAGAGACAAGCACTCGTCATAGAACCTTATCAGGTACGTATGCTAGCGGTAGGGGTGATTGGATACGATTTGTTCGAAAAATGCATCATTTTGCTTAAATCCTCTATCGGGTTCCTGCAATTCTAGCGCTTTTTCAGATTCTGAAGCACCTGATCTGGATGAACAGAAATCAAGAGAGGTAGGCGCCACTATGGAAGCTGGAGATGAATTAGGTGGGTGATATGATGGAAGGTTCGCGTAATTTCCCTACCGAAATTATTGTGAAATGTGTTTACTTTTCCAGAGTCGGTCACTTCTCGAAGTAGCGAAGGCAGGGATGGTGGCAGGAATGAGGAGGTATGATGTCTTTTTCTTACATTCTTTTTTCTTCTTTTGTTCTTTTTTTCATATAGTTTTTGGAGTATTTGGTTAGCGTTTTTGTCCCCGTGAGGATGTCAACGAATGTTTGGTCCTCTAAAATAAGACCATACATTCGTTGACCTCTTTCATCGCATCCTCTTTCTAGCCCTCTACTACTGTGGTAATGCAATCGCCCAGTCGCCAGCGACGCGCGGCAAGTGCTACTCCTTCAAAGACGAGGGCACTCAAAGGCAACGGTAAATATCCATATAATATATTGGCGTATAAAGAGATCAGAGGAGTTTGTGAGATTTAGCAACGCTGGATTATCTATCCATTTAACCCTCTGATTTTTCAGATCCTCAAACCCAAGCAACTTCGAATTCACCTAGCCGCCGAGGGCGATCAAGTAAGAGCCAGGCATCTCAAAAGTAGGCATTTAATTTCGTGTTCATTGATTTGACCTAGTGTTTTGTGTACATTTACAGTTTTACTTTTATGTTTCACCGTGTTTTGCTCTCGTTGAGAATCATCAATTCAAAGTTTTATCGTTCAGCACTGATTGAGTGAATGTTTTCACTGTTACTAAGTATTCGTTATGTGTTGCATTGTAATTCCGTAATTTATCACATAATAAAGCATGTTTACATACAAACTTTAGTCATCCTATTTTCATAGGTGCAGTAACAACAACAGTAACAAGTTCAATGTCATAACAATATCGAAGACCGGATTTCCAAGAGATCTATAGCAAAATACGAACGTGATTTTATATTTTACTCTTTCGTCACCATTTCCCTTATATCACCTTGTTCATAAAAAGCCCATCCATTTGCTGAATCGGCCAACCGTAATACCTTAGCCATATCCTCTTTCTTCTGTACGTTCAATGGTACAAAACTGACTAAGTCAAAGCTTGTGATAACGTCACAAATAGCGGCGTTAAGGCCATGATAACGCTCCAAGCCGGGAACTTCCTGTAAATAGTGAAATCTTGTAGGTTACTTAGAATTACCCTTTGAAATACAAATAACTTACGTTCAACAGCTCTAGAAGGCGATTGACATCCGGTAAGTGAGTGAAGTAGTCGAGACTATACGGGGCGTCATCGTCAAAAAGATCGATTTTAGAAAGTATGTTTACTTGCGGCATTTCCATTGTCACCATTGTTGCTGAATATGATGAGTATTTGATCCGAAACAAGAGTACTGCTTATGTATCGGACAATAACGCAACCGGATTTTACAATCGGTTGTTAGGTGAGTAAAAAGCAAGTAACCCTGCAACAGTAAATGGTTCTGTTTGAAAGAAAGCAGTCTGATCAACCGAACAACATGTGTGTTTATGGAATTGTATTCCTTGTTTATTTTGCATTCTTGCCAAAAACACGCAAGAATTCGGGAAAATCGTGGACTTAAGAGGGACTAGAACACTTATATTTGGGAAGCCGCTGAAAACAAACTGCCCATACTAGTTACCCACATTCCTCTCTCATAAAGCTTAACCTCTGGAACAGACAACAAGTTTAGATGTAAAGGATCTAGTACTTGGTAAAGGAGAGAAGTAGAAAAGTTAAATTATTAGAAATGAAGCATGTAGAGCAAAATCGATATTGAAATAGAACACCACTTTGAGAGCTCACCTAGCGTTGACATCACGACTGAAATGAATTTTGCGGGATCAGAACAATATAGAGAATCAACCAGGTGAAGGGCACAGAGTCGAACTCCCGTCTTTTCAAGTTCACGAATCAGCTAAATAGCAAGTCGGGAGATACTTATCTAATAGGAACAAACAAGAAAATAAATAAAGGAAACTCACACCCCATAGTTCTCCTTCGCTTTTGTATAATTCAAGTTGACCGGGGCAGTCAATGATGATGTATTTGTCCTTATTCTCAAGAATCTTCTGCAATAACCATTGCCGATTTCGGCACAGTGTGCTCATGCAGTACTTTAACGCTCCATTTGGGCCCAAATCTAAAGGATCGGAATGAAATGATTCAGGTTCAGCAGAAGAAAGTAAGCAGTAGTTTGATTTTTGTTAGTTGCTTTGGGCAGAGTTGCATCAGGGCCTGCTTCCAGTCATTTAAGGACACAAATACCGTCCCGTGTATCAGCGAGTGAAGCAATATTTGCCTTGTAAGCTACTCGCAGATTACGGTTCAGGCTTTGCCACATAGCCCACAGTCTTCCACTACTTATCGCCCAAATTCTGCTTCAACTTTTCACGGGAAACCTGTTGGAATGCAATGCACCCATGTTGCGGAAAACCAGCAAGATGTGTCGCCGCATGAGCAGGGAGATCTAGATGAGATTTGGGCGCTTTCAGAGTTTAACGACGTGCATTGTTTCAACCGACTGTCCGACTGGCCGACCACGTGGTCGACGGCCGAGTCGGTCAGCCGGTTAGAACAGTACACGTTGTTGAAATCTGAAAGCACCCTTTGTGGTCCTTCCTGCTTTATCATAAATCTCAGAAACTTCAAATCTTCGCAAGTAAGAGAGCATGCAGTCAAGGTCAGCAGGCGCTGTGAAAAGGACTGAACGGATCTTAAAAGTGCAGAAGGGAATCTGTAGTTTTGAGCTCCGTCAACGAACGAAGATCAAGGGTGCCGTTGCTTACGACAAGGAATCGAAGATCAGGGAGGCCGGACAGGTCATGCCATTTCGTGATGACTGCTGGAGCGGGCCAGCTACTGCTCGGATTCTTCGGCAAGTCAAACGAAGACAGGACGGCCGACAGTGCGATGGTCAGATTCCTTCACCAAAGGAATGCGTCTCGGGTCCCTCCATCGGAGGTGATCCACTGGACTAGATTAGCTAGAGAAAAGGACGAGTCAAGGCGTTACTGGCGCCCGCTCGAGGAAACCGATGATGGACGGGACGACAGGTGAAACAGTTGATTCACGTAAAATGTAGTCCCATATACAAAACGAATAGAAACGCACTCAGCCTTTCCATAACGTCTTCCACCGTTATGAGTTCCTTGATGTCATATGTAGCAGTATATTGCACAAAATCGTTGGCTGGATCTAAGTTAATGGTGATATGTGGACGATTGATCTGTTCGAAAACATCCACTAGCCCTGCACAAAATGTGGATTTTCCGGCACCCGGAGCTCCAATGACAAGAACGCCATACATGCTGAAAAACAAATATTTTCCAAAAATATGAAACTGCTCCAACTCGTATACAGAAACGAAAATTCAGTAAGGGAACCCGGTTCCCACAGTAAGCTTATGATGGCACAAAATGTAATAGATGTAGAACTTCACGGGCATTTGTGTAACATCGCAACTAGACGTTAGTATCGTCACAGAAACGAAAATTCAGAACGAGAACACGATTACTACAGTAACCAGCGGTTAGCTAAAATGCTGTGAACGTGAAGCTCCACGGACAAAACATTTCCTTTCACGCGTAACTCTATTTGATTGCACAAATACTCAACCCGTTCGTGAACGAGTCGCCATCCTGGAGTCTCGTCTTATAAGCTCAGACAGGCTCTGCGGATTAGAACTTGTTCCCAAAGCTTCCTGTGTGCTATGATTCCACGTAAACGCGGATAACAACATAGAAACTGAGAAAACCAAGAAATTTTAATGGTATTTAAACTAGAACATAAAGGAACTGCTTATGCTTTGCCACTGAACCGTTGGGAAACCGTGGACATTTTCTGAGGTCCCAATCAGAGAATCATTCCTGATGCAACTTGGAAACATTTCACCTTAGGCCAGAAGAAGCCTATCTTCAAATCTTACTGAAAAAACCGGTAAAATAAACAGCTATTGCGTAAAGTATAATACGTTGACTGCAATCACACATAACACAACTAGCTGGTCGCTTCCGTTTTCGTTACGTTTCAGCTTGGCTTTCAGGAGATCTTCCGACTACGGGTTTTTGTGTTGCCTTTTGTTTGTGACTGAAGTAACCTAACTTTGGGCGCTGCCGTGCTTGGGAACGGAGACACCCGGGCTGAGCTTGTCTTCCACTTTTCTGCCCCTCTCGCTGAACTAGTTTTGTACACATGTCTCTGAAGAAGACTCCTGTGCTCGGCATAATTTCGGTTCAGTAATTATCTTTGGTATTGCTGATTATTGGCCATTATTAGCAGTATTTGAGCCATCATTGGTTGGTACGTTTGGTTCATTAGTAATGTAATATAAGGTGTCGTGTGATTGCGGTACTGCTGTCTCAACTATTTCACGTTTGGCTAAATAATAATTCAAGATAGAATTAATTCTTTCTGAAACACATGGCAAAAACCTCGCTGGGATCAAGGGTGCCATCAAGGAACACCGTATAGGTGAGGAGTGGGTGTATCACCTGCATCACCTGTTGTCCCGTTGATCATCGATTTCCTCGTGCTGGCGCCAGTAACTTCTCCATTCGTCCCCAAAGTTGTCCAATGGATCGTCCTCGCTTCAAGGGCACGAGGCTGAACAATCCTTTCGTTCAGAGCTTTCGTGAAGAAGTCTGACCATCGCGTTTGCAGCAGTCTTAGTGTTCACTTGAAGTCTCGAGGTATGCAGTCAGTACCGCCCTGGTCCAACGGTCACCACTACATCGCATAACGTCTCCGGCCCACCTGATCTTCGATTTCTTGGCGTAATCAACTGCATCCCTGATCTTCGTTCGGTGACGGAGCTCGGAACTCCGGATTCCCTTCAGCACTTGCGTGTATAGGGAAATTCCGAGCATCGCCCTTTCCACAGCGCGTTGAATGACTCTAACTGAATGCTCATCCTACTTTCGTAGTGTTCAAGTCTCTGAAGCGCACGTCGAAGCAAGAAGGACAGTAGTGTCGAAGGTGAGCGCGGAGCCGAATGTTCTACGTCTTTTTCTCTTCTTCACTACTCCCTCGATGCTCTTAAACCCTCCCCTTGCTGCGCGTTTCCTTCTGCTCAGAGCTAGGTCGTTCATCATGTTGACTTCCCGACCCAGATAAACATAGCTAGAGCATTCCGATAATTTCGTTCCGGTTGAAATACATGGAAAGGTGGGTAACGCGTTTGTTTCTCCCGTCATTCCTCTTCGGTGGTTTCCGTTAGGGACAGAAGTTTGAAATGGAATGGTTGCTTCACTTTTTTTTGCAAATGAAACGGGAATGTCTCTTCTGGTTTGTCAGTTTGCTGTTTTTTTTTGTTTTTTTTCTTGAAACAGTGGGTGGCCTTGACACTTCAGCGAACGTTTCTTATCTTGCTACTTTCGCTTGCTGTTGTGCCACTTCATATTTTAATGCTTTGAAAACTTGTATTTTAGGTAATCTAACATTATGAATCGAGAGATATGATTTTTTTTGAAGCGAATTAATTATAATAATTCCTCGTCTCGTATTTTTGGTTTGTTTGCGCTATTTGGCTTTTATCACTTTTGATTGTCAAACAAATGGAATTTTAGGATGGAAAAAGGCCGATCTGCAACGTAAAATGTCCTTAAATCGTTATATGCATCCTCGTAACCCGTACAAGGACAAGCCTCCAGATTTCAATGATTTGGCCACTCGGTTTGCCGATTTCCGTGCACATTGTACGTTAGGAAGTAATGGCAGGGTAAGCTTTCAGGAAGCCTCAAAATCTTTTTCTTAATATACGGATCTTGGTATTAGCGATTTCATATTTGCTGTCTTGCCATATCGTGCCATTCTGCCTTGACTTCAGGTATTTGTTAATTTTCAAGAAGACGGAGCTGTTCGTTCGCTCGCCAAGGCTTTACTCAAAAAGGATTTTGATCTCGAGGTGAGCCTCATGTTTACTTCCAATCATTAATGTTCCTCACCATATTTTTCTTTTAGATTGAGCTTCCACATGGCTGTTTGGTGCCTCGTGTTCCTCAACGCTTAAATTATATACTTTTTATTGAAGATTTGTTAAAACTCAACCATATTGAAGACGATATTGTTGGTATTGACATTGGTCAGTGTACTTTCGCTATTGTTTTTAATACATTCTTAGACTTTTTAAAGTTTATGCTTTGGTTTTTATGGTATTTTCCTTTTCTGAAGTGAAGAAGTGTGGTATAGTTTACGGATCGTACTAAAGTCTGCCGATCCGTTTTTTGTAGCTTCCAGGTGTGCTAATAATTTTAACCTGGTGATGGCTTTAGGTACTGGTGCGTCTTGTGTTTATGCATTGTTGGGTGCACGTTGGGCTGGATGGAAATTCATAGCAACTGAAGCAAATGATGAAGCCGCTAATACAGCCAACGGCAATGTCGTTCGTAATCAGCTCAGTCATCTCGTTCGGGTTGTACATGTCAATGAACACTCTCAAACACTAATCAAGGTGAGTTACCTTATTTGGGATACTTCTTTCCATTTTTGGCTGATTTAACTAGTTTTCTGCTGTTGCCTCGTTCTTTTTTTTGCGGTCAGTGGCTTCGAACTAAATTCTCATAGATGTTCGTAGAATAAAAGATTACCAAAACCGTTGTAGATGGACGTAGCATGAGATTAGTCATACATACGTAATTTATTAGTCGTCTCTGGCCGTTTATTGCCATCTATTCCAGGATTTGACTCGACAGTTCAGCGATTTACAATTCTCGTTCTGTATGTGTAATCCTCCATTTTTTGAATCGTGCGAAACTGATAAGGTTTTTATTTTTATTGATCCTTATTTTGTATATGTATGCTATGGCATTCTGCTAACTCGTCTTAGAGGTTCTCTGTCGATACAGCTTCCGGTGCCATGCTGAATGAATGCGCAGTCGATTCTTCTGAAGCAGAACGAGCTCCTCCCCGATCTGCAACAGTAGCACGCCGAGGAGAACTTGAAGTTGAGGTCAGCTGTCTCAGGGATAAGCAGCAAGTTTGGAAAAAAGTCAGTAAATCAGTCAGTCTTCGTATCAGTTTCCCAGAAGATGCGCAGTACACTTGCGCTGAAACTCTGAGTCGTTCCTGCTATACCGCGGAAATTCTCATTTGTTTTTGCGAGTCTTTTGTCATATTCCCACTTAACTGTTTCCCTGCATGGAGACAAAGTACAATGAAGCTAGTAAAGTGGCAATAGTACTAAAAATTATCTTATTTCCAAGACGCTTGCAATTATGCATGCCATTTGAAATGAAGGTTTGAAGTTAGGTTTCACATTTCTTGTTCCAATTATAGTCATAATTCCATTCAGGGTGGTGAAGTGGCTTTTGTTGGACGCCTTATAGATGACAGTGTTCTTCTTCAGACTCAAGTCAGGTGAACATAATTAAATGTTAGTTTTTATTCGACTACTCCTCAATCGGCTTCTTTTAAAACTGTTGGATCAAATATTTGTGGAGAATCTCATATTTTACAATCGAAATCTCTTCGTGACATCTGATCATGCTGGGAAAATGAAGATGCAGAGCGTTCGGTTGCAATGATCGTCTTCGCGATTGCGCTGCGGCTTTGCTCAACGTAAATGTTTTGGGAGCGCTATTTGATCTCAGAGTCAAAGGATATATAAATAGTTTCATTTTAAATGTTCTCATCTATCAAATAGCACTTTTCTACCTTTCTTACGTTTGCTTTCAGCATTTATACAACTATGCTCGGTAAGAAGAGTAGTGTCAATGCGCTATGTCGTCGGCTCTCTAGAATAGATGGTGTGCGATATACAGTGTCGACATTGTCCCAAGGCAGAACACAACGATGGGTTTTAGCGTGGACATTTTTGGCTAAGATTCAGCTGGAGAACGTAAGTCGATTTCTTCGGTTCTCGTTCATATTTCTAATCTTTCACAGACTTTGCAGAAAAGTTGTGCATCTCTTTACCTCATATGCCCGACTGATATCAAAACATCCCCTCTTCTTTGGGTACGCTCGCACCTAGAACGCCTCGAAGTGGAAACGGAACGAGAGAGTGTAGACATGGTATTGTTTGTTCCAAGCTTAAGTGTAAACCAAAGTATTGTTGGTGTATAACTACGAAACTGTTCATTTCAGCTTACTTGCTCTGCTCGTAGAGTTACCTGGACAAACCAACGTTCAAAAAGGAGGGCAGAAGCTAAATTGAAACCTCCCGAGGCAAAGAGAAGCAGGTAGGCATTTTTTAAGTTGACATTTTGCTCTCCCTTTAGCTGTACCGCAGTCAGTCGACCTTGAATATGCACAATTAGCAGATACTATTGAAGGAATACGGTTTTGTCGCTCTTTCGCTCCTTGTTGAAGTCCTCATAGGAAGCTGGTGGCTGAATGCAGAAGCTCCCTGCTGAGGGTCACACTATTCCTATAGGTAAAGTCAAAGTAATTAAGGCAGCAAGGTAGAGCAATTGTTCGCTATGATCAAAAGGAAGAGGGTAACTAGTAACGGTGTATGTTGGTGTTAAACGAGGGGTTTCAGAATAAAGCATGGAGCTCGGTAAAGATAGTTTCAAATGTGTATCTATTTATGTTACTTGCAACAGCCCTGTGCAACTATTTTGCATGAAGGGTTACTTGTCGTAAAGAAAAAAAGATATGTTATCCTACTAAACTATAGCTTTGCTGTTGTTTATGTTTTGTTAAGCGAATGAAAATCGAGTGAAAGTAGCAGTGTGATGGCAGAATGCGCGCTGTTTTCTGAAAAAATCGTGGGAATGGGCTCCGCTCCCTAAATCTTACCTTTTAATTTGTGTTTCTTTTTTTTTGGGAAAACGTGCATACAGACGTCTCTAGACCTCTTTATTACAGCCAGAGTGTCACCGGTTGGAGTCCTCTGGCAAAACTGCTTCCTGGTTGGTTTTACCCGATGACAATTTGTATAGAGTGGAGTGTTTGCCTGATGGGGTCATAGGTCCACGCCATAAGCTTGAAACAAATTCGTGTCTCTTAAGAAGAGGAGCAATCCGGAACATAGGCCCTATAGTAATGAATTGTAGTAATGTTTTTAGGCCTTGCAATATCCGCATGGCCTAAAAATACCGGCGCGATGAAATAGTATCTTCTTATGTGAAATACTTACATGTACTTTTAGGTTGTCCAATGTAGACGTTGATGTTCAAGCTTCATTGGGAGTTGGTGACGGGAAGGATTCATTGTCAAACGCGGGCAACTTCGATTCTTGCCTAAACATACCCTTGTCAAGTACGCAGGCCGATGCCAGTATTCAGGTGTGACAAATCTTTTCCGTGTAGGATTGCCCAAAACATAAAGAGAGTTCCCATTTTTTCAGGCGTACTTTCCGTGTTCTTTACCACCGTCGATGTTACGTTTTCGTGTCATTCAATCTCGAGAAAATGATGGAGTCTCATTTGAGTATATTGACGGTTATAAACCAGGTTTATATCAACTAATGCAGTATTTGAAAAATCAAATGAAATAGTTCCGAGTAGTCAGATCTTAATAAGTGTCCCTGTGCCTCCGACCCTCAGATATTTGATAAGGTATGGTCTAATCCTTTTGCATGCAAGTAGTTTCCTCAGGTTGGGTACTTCTTCTGTCATATGCGCATATATGTTCTATCATATGAATACTGTTCTCCTCTGCATTGTTATCACGTGTAGTTTTCCCAGCATTCATCATACGGTTACGTTCAGCTTTAATATCATCGGTTTCCCATGTCATTGTACTTTACAATGTATAATATGTGGTCGAGTCAAACTCTTGCATAATAACATCTTTTCCACATGATTTTTTTCCTGAAATTTCATTTTTATGTTATTTTCTCTACGCTTATACACAACAATGATTGCTATCTTGGTCTTGTATCAGGTGGAAATACGTTTTTATGGATCTGCACACTATTACCCAGTGAATCTTAAGCCTATTAAATGTAAACAAAGTTTGTTCCTGACCGTTGATCTGCATTTGGGTGTCGTCTTAAACATCCATATTCGATTAACCATCGTTAGTGATTGATATCCTCCTCCTTTTCCTTTTTTCCTGCACAATCTGAGGCCTCAGTTGTTTTTTTGTGATGTTCGGCTGAAGACGTAGAGTAGCCAAGAGCAGCAGGGGTTCAACCCCATTGAGGTGTGGAAGCAAGATGAAACCAAAACGGAAAAACGAAGGTTTACAGCATCTAAGTCATCAATGCATTCTAACTGAATTCCTGTAGCAATTAGGTTTTTGTAATTTTTCTCCTCTATATTGGGTAGCTTAGTAATGAAGCTACTCCTTTGCTGTCAGGATCATGAAGCTCTCTGTACAATTCGTGATTAAGCTTATCAAAAGTAAGTCAATGGCTCAGATCCTATGGTCCCTATCGAGCCATGCAAAGAGCCTCTTATGCACCTAAGGAAGAGAAAGGAGTTGGTGAAAGGTGTTTTTTGTATTCTCCTCATGTCCATCTGAGGTGAATGGTGACCCGCCTGAGTTAAGTTCTGATGGGAGAATCCTTTTGGTAAGTAGGCTAGAACTGCTACCGTAGTAAGTGATATCGTAATCAAATACCTCCAAGACTAGTAGGTCTTATTTTACTGGGATCCAATAACTTTTCGTCTTAAATTTGGCATTAATCAGTTCTTCAGTGCAAAGTCACTTCTTCAGGAAAGTTTTTGAGAATTTGCGGTGTCTTCAAGGTGTTGATTCACCTCTTATCGTTCCCAACCAGTAATGTTTTCGTTCGGAGGAGTAATCCGATAAGCACACTACAAGGTGTCGTTATCACCCCGTTGCTCAGCTTCCTATACTTCTTATCAAAGCCCTTTTAATAAGTGCGTATTAGCTGTCAATCAAATAGCCACGTTCTTTAGAACAATGTTTGATTGCTTTTAATTCATGTATTTTTTTATATCTTTTAACCCAATTTTGATAATGCAGCTGTCTGCTAGTGCTGGTGTCTCCAGTCCCAAGGTAATACATTACAGTGAGTTACGAAAAGTGATGACTACCATAGGAATAGGTTACTTTCGATGGTCATGTAGCGTCTTTCACAACTGTATGCACCTCTCAAACGGTTTTTATCGGAAAGCAAAACATTTCTGGGGAACCTCAAAATTACTTCTGCAACTGGGCGAGTATTTTGTTAGAACTATATCGTGTGCTTGAATATAAATTATGCGGTAAATGTGAATTAATCTTAATTATAAAATGGTTACCTGCTTGTGAA